AAAAAAAAATAATTATATAGGACTGAAGGAACTGATGAGGAAATGTAATTTGATTATTTTGAAACATTTTTGGTATTATTTTTAATGTTCTTTTCTGATACAATACGAAGCCATTTTTCTTTCTTCCTGATCTCTCTCTTACCATTAACTTAGTATGCTTTTGTAAACATCTTGAAATAAAACATTTTTAAATGGTAATCCAGTTCTCACTGACCTTTCAGAATTCGGAAAAAACACTCTTTCTGAATCCTTTTACTTTTAATGGCAATGTAGTTACCTGCATAGGTTCAATAAGAATTTGTTCTATTAATAATTATTACCAGTACGTAACTGAATAATAGATGGCACAGTCAAGGCCATTTGTGGAGTGAGAGTGGATCTCATTTACTCATGCATGAAGCCCACCACTGAGAAACAAGGGTTGCTCTTCACTGGGAAGACCATAAAGACCTCCCAGAAAGCTGGCTGGTGACCTTATTATGGAAGTTAGGCAATTTTAGCAAATTTCTAAGCCTTGAAGAAAGATCCATTCACCCCTATTTATAGATACTACAGACAAAACAGTGGTGCTGACTTTCTTGGTTTCGTTTTCTAGCCTCAGAACAGAAGAGCAAATTAAAGCAATAAACAACATACATGGAATAAGAGAGGCTACTGAAACTTCCTAAAAAGATTCTTAAGAAATCTCCAAACAGAACTTAATTTTCTAGATTATGCAGTTGCTTAACACCACGTGGCTTTAGAGTTTCTGATCAGACTACAAAGAGGCTTATGTATTAATATATTAGTTAACTTTTCTTACTGCATTTATATAAATGAATCAGGCCCAAATGCAAGACGATCAGCTTTCTTTGGAAATCAAGAACAATCTTTGGAGATTATTCCTGATCACAGTGCTTCATAGTTTATAATGTCCTTCCACATCTTGAGTTAAACCTCCTAAAGACCTTTAAACACAATAATCCTAAAGTCACCATGAACAGATTTAGACTTGAAATCTTCTCTTTGCCCTGAAGAAGACAAAATGGTTTTAAAGTAGGCAAGCAGATAAACATTCACACGCTGTTATTCTCCTCTATTGCAAATATCTGCTGGCCTTAGAAGACACTAGCGTACACACACACACACATTCACACACATTCAACATTTTCCATGGAAAAGCCAACTATGGCTGAGAAATCCAATTCCATAGAGTGCAAATTCGAACTTCTACCTTGGGTCTCATTGAGGACAGCTCAAAAAGGGGCTGAGATCAGTGGGATGACATTACTTTCTCCACCATGAAAACATCTACATAAGCCCAGCCTTTCCTGCCCCTCTCAGCCATGGAAGAGAAACAGCTACCCATGGGAAGTTTTCTCTTTCATCAGTCCCCTGGCTCTGTACTGCATTACAAGTGGAATATAGTAATAAAGGAATGCTCTGGGGGAGAATGCTCTCCACTGCTGTGACATCTCTGTAGTCTCTGTTTTGATATTTGGCCTTGAGAAGTTCAAAGGATTTGAGAGATTAGAGTTCAAGAAAGACCAAGATGTGCCCCAGGGCAGGCCCTGGTCTTAGATGCTGAAAAACCTCCTCCTCCCTCACCATAGCCACTTTGACCTCTAGAAGAACCTAGTGCATATCTTGGTCAGACAGAATCATTTTCAAAGACACTCAGCTCTTCTTCTTCTTTTCAATGGTAGTTGAAGGCAATCCAGTTTAGGGTCCCTAAACAAGCTGCAGCAGTTGCTTGCCAAGTCTGCCCATTTCCCCAGCTTGTTCCTGGCACCTGGGACAGAGCTGGGCCACACCAACCCTCCCTGACACCCACACCCTCTTCAGGTCCCCACTCACCATTCTTTTCTGCCTTGTGTTTTGGTGGCTCAGGCTCCGGGAGACACGGACAGGGCCCATCACAGAGGGTGGTGAGGCTCTTGCCGGTAGAACAAGCATGGAATTCCAACTTGCACTGCAAAAGAGGGACAGAACAGGCCTTAGGAATGCAGCCACAGCACGCCTCTCCTCGGCTTCCTTGGGAGAAAGCCAGTGCCTTTGTTTCATGGAAGCAAAGTTGGAGCAGGGAGAATTCCATCTCAGGTAACGGTCTGGATTGTGGACTACTGAATAAGAAACGGCCCTTTATGTTTTTCCAGATGCACAGGACAACTTCTCATAACATTGTGGAAGCACTGGAAGGCTTGCTTTAGTGAATGGTAAACTCAAGTGTCACTACTTATCAAATAAAAATGTTATGGTGCACAGAGACTTCTCCCTTCCCTGCAGGAGGCTTCTTCCCCACCTTTCCTCCCACGTGCTTGTATACCACTCCTGGTCCTCTCAGCCTGTCACTGCTCCTCCCGGGGAGGAAGAGTAACAGTCTCTTTAGGAAGTCTGGGGAGTAATTTGAGGCTCAGCCACGCCCCTTGGGAGCAACAAGGAATGAATGCTTTTGCTTCCACTGTCCAAAACCCGCATTTATGTGGGTCTTTCCCTCACCAGAGGATGCCTGTGGTCAAACTAGCCTGTGACTTGATGGAAATGTCTACACAATTCCAGGATTCTGCGTCAGAAGCCCATGAGCCACATCTTGTCAACCCTTTATCAGTAACAATGGTAATATTTTGGTCACTTTCTGCCAGCTCTTTACTCTTAACTCTCAATGGATTCAGAACACAAGCAGGAGGGAGGGATGTTATTTACAGGTGCAAAGGACCACAACAATTCCCAGCATTTTTATTATTCCTACATTATGGAAGCAGAAACTGAGGCTCAGGTTAGATAGCTTGCAGAAGATCACAAAGCTCATTCAAACCCATGCCTGGCTCAGGGCTCAGCACTCAGCTCTGTGTGTCCCGCAACACCGTGTCTCTCACGTGGACGGGGCTTCAGCGTGCAGACGTCCCGTGCCGAACTGTGTATGGTTAATCAGGCAACTTTGCTATTGGCCAAGATCTGAGTTGTCTGAGAGTTTCCTCCCTTTTTGCCTGTAAAATTCTCAAGATCAAGGCCTGTGTGTAATCAGTCCTCTGCAAAGGCCCGTGGGCCCAAGACCATGTGTGTGTTTCTGGTGGAGGTTCAAAGGAAGAAGAGATAGGTGAAATCACTGAGCACCCACTGGGCGTGCGGCTCTTATCAGGTGCCATGGGGAATCTTCTAAATGAAAGAAAAGAGGAGATACGGTCCTTGCCCTTGGAAAACACAAATGCATACCTTTGAAAAAAGTCCGCTGGCATTTGCAAAGCCACACACAAGTAAGTGCAGATAAATACTGGCTCGTTGTAAGAGGACGAGCTATTCAGTCCCCGCACTGATTAGAAGCCAAGGGAAAGAGTGCTTTAAACCTGCTTCTAAATGTACTGGAGTCATTCTTGTGTCCCTCAGCCATCACCCACTCAGCCCAGTCGCTGGCCACGCTTGCAGGGAGAGGGCAACAGGGCAAACCTACAGAGCACCAGCTTCCTCTTGCAGCAAAACTCCCTTCTGGGCGCGTTTGCTAAGTGTCTAGAACGTGCCCAGCGTGGCGGCAGGGGCTGGGGGGCTGTCTGCAGAGAAGCCGGGGCCCGTGCCTCAGACTCCGACTGACCTGATGAAGCAGAAAGAGCGTGGATGTGACGCTGAGGTGAGGCGGGATACAGTGCAAGGACGGAACACAGAAGAGGCCCGCGGCACGGGCCGGGAGCAGCAGCTGGGTCGCTAGCAGGGGGGCTCCTTCCACGCAGCGCGGCACACGCGCAAGTGCCCGCGGCTAGGCCGAGGCGCTGCGGCCAGCCCGCTGCCCCCTCCTCCTCCTCTGGGTTAGCTCTCTATAACAACACCCAGTTCCAGACTAGACCCCTAAAGCTAATTTAGGGTAAAGCATATTTGTATGTGTAAATTTATTTTATAAAGTCAGAATTACATCAATATTTACTTATCATAAAGCCTTACTACACCATTACTGTTACTACCTGCTTGTATCTGTGACAGACTGTGACTTCCCCACATATTCTCTGCTCTCCCCGGGACAGGAATCCATACTTCCACTCACAGCCCCGGGGCTTGCCGAGCAGCACCTCCCGGTGGCAGGCTCGACTTCCCCTTCCCAGTGGGTGACACCAGCCCGGCCATGTGACTTGCTCTGCCCAGCGGGTTGTCGGCAGGAGGGATGCCAGCCAGGTTCGAGCAGACACATCAGGAATCACTGTTTGGTTCTATCACCTCTCTCGCTCTTCTCCCTCTACCATGACAGTGATAGGGCAAGTAAGGGCTGCTCCTTCTGCCCAGGACTCGGAAGGCAGAGAGCATGGAAAGAAGCTAAAACTAACCCACAGCTAACACACAACATGAACACGGAAATAAGCTTTGCTGTTGTAAGCCACTGGTGTTTAGGGATCATTTGTTACTACAGCATAACTTAGCAAAAGCCGACTAACAGAGTGGTTGACTTCCTAGTGGACCGGGAAGTACTTAACAGCAGGAAAAGGTCTTCACACTGTCTCATCCCTGGCATGACAGGACACACATACAGCCCTGGCACAAAGTAGATGTTCAATAAATAGCTGCTGAACGATAAAGGCAGAGGGACAGGTGGCACTGTTCACTCTGCTGCTCTGAACTCTGTTCCAACCACCAGGACTGACCCATCTGCCCGCACAAGGGCTGCAGGTGCTGGCGCTCAGTATTCAGATGTGCATCCTGAACCATCCTTCACCCTCATCGGCTCCCAGCGTCTTCTCTTTAAGCGCCACACTCAGGACTCAGCCTCTCAGTCTCCCTGCTCACCCTGCCTGTCGCTGGAGTTGGAGCCTAGTCTGTCTGTCTCCCAGATGCCCAGAGCACCTGTTCCCTGGGTGGCCTTGCCCTGACAAGGAGCCCCCGTGGACCGTGACCCCAGAACTCCGCTTCCTTGGCTGGGCTGCAGCACCCCCTCTCCTGTGCAGGCCTGGGTGGCAATGGGTGGCAGCGGGCCGGCCTCCTCCCTGGCACCACCAAAAAAAAAAAACAAAAACAAAACAGTGCTTGTCTGCACCAGTGCAAATCCAAGTTTCCAGGGCGCAGATCTGCTTTTTATCTTCCAGAACAATATGTAGCATTTAAACAGAGCGCAAAAGGCTACAATTCCATTTCTTATAAAGCTCAAGACAGGTTATTTAGAGATACATACACATATGGTAAAAGCGCCTTTAAAGGGGAGAGAAACGATGGCAAAGTGCATCAGGACAGCGGTTGCCTCCTGAGGGGAGGCAGGACCGGCCAGACAGGAGCCCAGAGGACGCATCGCAAGAATCGGTGACGTTTTATTTCACAAAAAGCATGTTAGTTTCTGAGGCTTTTCTTTTGTTACCAGGTTTGACAGCTTCTACAACACAGTGATATACGTTTACGTGCCAAATGCAGCGGTACATGTATTTTTTACGTTAAGTATCAAATACTTTATGATAAAATCTAAAACACCATGTATCGGCTTCTACAGAGGCGACAACCACGCCAGAACCACAGCTCCCGGGAAAAGCGCGTGAGCGAGCAGAGCGCGTGTCAGGGGCGCCCTCTGGGGAGGGTTGCACGGCTCTGGTCTGAGCCAGAGCCATCCTGAGGGCCTGCAACCCCGGCATCTCAGGAATGTCCCCTTCCCACAGCACCTCCATAATCCTCACCCCTCAATTCACCCTCCCAGTCACTTCCCATCATCCTCTCCCTCCCAGATGCCTGCCAGGGAAGAACAGACACTGAAGCCCAATGCTGATGGCCATTCCAGCTTTACACGGAGGGGCCAGACGACTCCAAGGACAGGGCTTCCTGCTCAGCAGGGCTGTGCAACCCTGGCTGCTTCCTTGATTTCGGATTTCTAGCCCCCAGAACTATGAGACAATAAATCTCCGTTGTTTAAGATCCAATTTGTAGTACTTTGTTACGGCAGCCTAGCAAACGAAAACATCTTCTATTCAGATTTTTAAAAAGAGATAGACCCTGAGGAATGGAAACACTTTGTCTTAGGTTTATAAAACACACATCTTTGTCCCAAGATGGCTCAGTTCTACTGAAAAGAGAGGAAAAAAAAATAATCATGGAATAGCAGCCTCAGGACATGGGGAGTTGGACCTAAAGAACTTGGCCAGGTTGTATCGGTCATGAGGCAGAAAAGAGGAAATATGAAAAATTCAAGCCTTCGTATTGATCTTATGATAAAGCAGTTAAATAAATAATTAACTCTAACTCTCTAAAGGAGAGTTGAGAAACAGAGAAATAAATTAAGGACTTTTAAACACGACACTAGAACCCATACTCATACAAACACGAACAGAAACATGAATATAAATACAACCTCCGGAAGCTTCTAGACCCTTGACCTGCTAGAACAGAAATGCCTTCCCCAATCATCGCAGAAACGGAGAAGGAAGGAGCAAGCCAAAGACTGCACCAACGGGCAGAAATATTCAAAATGCTGACCTACTTAAAAATAAATGTGCTAGCAGATTTCCCAACCAATTTTTCCTTCTGTTTTGCATAACACACCAATACGTCAGAATGAGTGAACGTTTTCCTGCAAATGGCCAGTAAATCTTTCTCTTCTATGGTTTGTAAAGCAAAACTAATAACCTCTCTCTGGTTCACTGCTCACGCAGGTCTCAACTGAGTACGTTTCTCCACTACACCACACTCTCTGCTTTGCTTTGCATGCTTTGGGTATTATTTTTAACGTTTTATTTAAATTGCTTTCTCCACGATATTTCATCAACCTATCATCTATTTTTAAGCCAGACTGTTGATGGTTCACAGTTGACAATTTTGTTCACAGTTGATGAATTCTGATTTGTTTTTGTTCGCCCAAAATCGTGTCACAGTAGAGGGGGAGGAACAATCCCGAGGCTTTGCTGGCTTTAATAATTGGGCGCGAAGCGAGTGGCTGCTGACTGCACCAGTCAGATGCCACACACGGTGTCCCTGGCTGGTGAAGAACAGCCACTTGGCTCTGCCTAGGGCTTGAGAGGC